TTGGTAATGTGGATAGTGAGGCAATTAATATCATAGAACCCCATTTGGATTGCTGGCAGTCAGATGCGCCACACGGGGGTGAGGTCGAATTGATGTTAGCAAAGAAGAGAAAAGACATTACCACAGGGCAAACACGTAGTAGACAGAAAGCGAATGGGAAATTGTCGACAGTAGGGGAGACATGGCTGAATTTGTTTCCTGACCTGCTAGATTTGTCAAGCACACAACCTGGCTGCGACGTTGATGTCGGCGCAATAGATGGAAGTGAATGGTTAAAAAAAGCAACGAGGCGAGTTACTAAGTTGGAGTGTGAAGTCTGAGAGAAAGATGTACGTGTGCGTAAGTTAGACAGTAAGATTGCAACCAAAGAGAGGATGCTCGGTGCACAAGCCAGTAGCGTATTTATTGGATTCGACAGCGTAATTGTGACAAAAGAAGCTGAGATTGAACGGCTAAACGCGCTAGTTTGGGAACTGGAGGACAAAATAATGACGTTAGAGGACGAAGTTGACGATCGCGAGGTACATGTAGTGACCCAATCAGTCACAAATGATAATTACAAACATCAGACACCACCTGAAAATTGTTCCAACCAAAGTAATGGGTTAGGGTCTGTACCTAGTTGTGACAACGTGCAATGTGCCGCATCTAGTGGGGACAAATGTATCCCAGCTTTGAAAGGGCCAGACAATTACATGGCCGAAATGGATTGGGTAACAAACTTAGTTGATGATCCTGTCGAGTGTGGCAAACGTGAGCATATGGGGGTGCATGCTTTTGTTGAAAATGGAAATGTTGATCGGATTGTGGATAGCATCGTTGGATTTGATGTTGGTGGTACAAACGAAGTAGTTAAGGGCAGAGTGAGTAGTCCCGGCCCAAAGGTGTCATCATTGGTCAGAAGAGTGAAGGACAAGGAACAACATGAATTTAGATTAAGCGACTACGAATATCCGAAGTTTGTTTGTCGTAGCAAGCAAAATTGGAAGAGTGGCAACATGGGGAAAGTGGAGCCATAAGTGATATACGTCATTAATGATGTAGGAGCCAAGTTGAAAACGTGGCACGAGTTTGGAATGTCTCGGAAACAGCTTGTGTGGAATATGCTCACATTTGACGAAACAAAGCTGTTGGACAAGTTTATAGCGTCGACGACAACGGGTAATCATTAACTCTGGAATATACAACTGCATAAGTATCTTTGGTTGTATTTGATCATTAGTGTGAGTAACTTAAATAGTGAAAGACCGAACGTGTAGATAGTCAAAAATTTGGTAATAACCGCTGATTGTGTAACGTAACACAAGCAGCGTCAATGTTTCAACTTCTAAAATTGCATATCACCCCAAATTTTTAAAACTTTCTTTGTAAATTAAAAAAATTGGCTATGCCATCGTTGATGGTTCAGCTGGTTTAGTTCCACAGTTATAGTAGTACACTGCAAAATGTATTGGATGTAATATCGTATAAATTATAATTTAAGGAAAATGCTTACGGCCTAAAATTGGTTGCAGGTCTGTGATATGGGATGGGGGTGATAACGGTATACAAGTTCGATTTTCAGATATGTGTGACCTAGTACAACGGGTATCAATTCAAGGGAACATAAGTAGAGATGTGTCGCTCTGTGCATGTGTATAACATCTTTGTTTGTCATTGACATTTAATGTGAGTATTTATGTACGACATGAATAACATTATTTTTGTGTTTGTGTAGGTCATCGACGCATATGCAGCCATGCTCATGGACTTATAGAAAAGTGGTGTGCGTTCAAACGAAGATGTAGGCCTGTCGTATGTATTCAACAGTGTTTGTGTGGTGCGTGGGTGTATGACTAAAACGATGAACCTTGAACATATACAGTCACTTACCATTAAAAAATGTCTCACGCGACAAATAGTTTGATATTGTTTATGGGTTTTGTGTGGAAAATTGCAACAGGATGTGATGCGAAATCCAAGTGTCCCGGACAAAGTACCTGAATGTGCAAACAAAAGCTTCGAGAGGGCATAGATACACATATTATCCGATGTATTACGCCAAACATTGGACGTTGATGGTGAACGATTTGGCAACCAGAATGTGGAAGCATTACAATTCTTTGAAACTTAGGTGAGGGATGCAGGATGAGCATTACAATGAAGCGTTGAAAGTGGTAAGTCATTGGGTCTGAATGTACTTTTAAACAGTGTTGGTGGTATTGTTTGTTGTTTAACGACGTGTAGGTGAAATACTTGGGGTTACACCAATTTTGTTAACTGTACATGGTGTTTGAAGTTTATTTGCTTGTTCGTGTTATAACGTGTGTGAACATTGATTTTGCAGTAGTGGGTAGAAGACCATTACAACAGAGATAAAACAAGATTTTGTCGCCGAAAATTCTCATTTTCGTCACCAAATAATCATTCAGTATCATATTTATAATTTTAGTTGACGAATAAATTTGTCACAAATGTTGATCATTGATAAGGAAATTATTTCGTCACAATAAGATGTAAAGGTGACGAAATTTTTCGTCTCCAAAAGTCATACATGGGTGACGAAATATATTTCGTGACAAAAAGATGTATACGTGACAAAATTTTTAGTCACCAAACAATAAAATCAACAAAACTTTACATATATAGCTGCGATAAATTTCGTCACAAAACTTGTTCCATATTTTATAATTCAATTTAAATTATTATTTCACAAATATCCTACTCATATCTCAATAGTCTTCAAATATACTAACAAATCCACTAGCTATTATACACCACTCTACAAAACAATTCAGTAACCAATTTATATTATAAATCAAAATAAATCCATCATACAAATTTAATAATAATTCATCATACAAATTTTTAGTCTCCAAAGTCCATTTCTCCATGCAGATAAGCCAAACCATGAGCTGCATGTTGAGCAATTTTTAATCTTGCCATCCATGGCAGAGGAGACGCTGCCCGAGCCAATAGATGGTTCTCTAAGCTTTTGTTACGCATGAACTCATACACCAAAAGCCGCTGAATCCCTCTTTCATCATCTTCTGCACAGTATCCCACTAACTTGACAAGATTTGGGTGCTTGACTACATACAACAAGTTCATTTCATTGATCCATTCCTTGTGCCCCTGAAAACTAGAACGAAAAATAACACCCATCAAATAACCTTTAAATTTATGGAGGAGATGCTCTCAAAGATCAAACATACAATATAGCACTTTATCAATCCATAGCCAGGAAATGAGATCAGTCCCATAAGCAGAGGAACCCATCCTCTAAATCCAGATCTTGTCGGTGACACAAATGGGTCATTGCAATTATCAATTTGATAACTCTGTAACTAAGAAATAACAAAGCCTTGAAAGCTATGAAAGATTCAATCATTGCCAACGAAACGAAATGGCAGCAATCGCCATGGGCAGGTGCACATTTTTTTTTTAAAATGAGCAGAATCAAAGTATATTTAGATTAGGCATGAAAAACATCAATGTCGTAAAACCAAGATAACAAAAAACCCTCGTGCGGATGATAGTGCAGACACTAATTCGAAGAAGCTAAATACCCGAGGGCACATTTGGAACTGAACAACTATTTGGTCACAAGCATACAGTGATCATTTAATGGGCATTGATGATTAACAGAGATACAACCAAGATGGATCGTGTCTTATCAATTAACATATCATGAAACGCCATAATTATGTATCCACAAAACAATTTCATTTCCATGAAACATCCAAATATGCAAATGTCCCATGTTTGTCATGCTGTAGAAAATTGAAGATCATGATTCAAACTTAGTCTTAGGAAATTAAGCTTTTAAGTATGTCAATTTAGTTACGAACTTGAATGGATTTGAGCCAGGAAATGAGATCAGTCCCATAAGCAGAGGAACCCATCCTCTGAATCCACTTCCTGTCGGTGACATAAATGGGTCATTGTAATTATCGATTTGATAACTCTGTAACTAAGAAATAACAAAAGCCTTGAAAGCTATGAAAGATTCAATCATTGCCAACGAAACGAAATGGCAGCAATCGCCATGGGCAGGTGCACATATTTTTTTTTAAATGAGCAGAATCAAAGTATATTTAGATTAGGCATGAAAAACATCAATGTCGTAAAACCAAGATAACAAAAAACCCTCATGTGGATGATAGTGCAGACACTAATTCGAAGAAGCTAAATACCCGAGGGCACATTTGGAACTGAACAACTATTTGATCTTCAATTTTCTACAGCATGACAAACATAGAATTACCAAGTCTTTCATGCTAATCCATCACACTGCATCATGCATGGCGATGGATCCATGAGGTTAGCTTGGAGCTGCAAAAGACAGCAGCAGCTGAGTAATCAAAGACAAGCATATCTAGATTCTAACCAATTATTTAACAAGTTCAATTTACTATGATGAGACTAACATTTTTGAAATTTTGGGAAGCAAAGCTCTGATTTGAATAGATTTTTCTGTATTCCTTTTTTCTGCATTGATGCAAGTTAGGATGCAACAAAGCATAGAGTATATTGAAATCTACACAGATGGGATCTACATTAGTATGCAGAACAATATGGAAATTTACAATTACCAAAAAATAAAAAAGTTCAAAAGCTTTTAAGTCACAAAAACTCTAGAAATGTTCAAATGGATACAAATGTTTGCTGCATTTTCTCTGCTTCTTGTACTCATGCAAGTTGGAACACAGTGGACTGAGGTCTGCCCAGATGGGATTATGCAACACGTAGAACCTAAGTACTTAATAAATAAAATCAACATTAACAATTTGGAAATTCACCAAAGTACTTAAATATTGATTGAATTGAGCATATGTTCATTGTATATGAAGATCAAAAGATTAGAATCATCATGTGACATGCACTGATGAGAAATTGTTAAATAATTGGTATGAAAGCTAGAAGAGAGACCTGATGCAAACATAGCAAGCTTCAAACAAGGTCTCCTAGTTAACTTGCTCCAAGCAAATTGAGTATATCAATTCATATTTTGAAGCTTCATTATCTGTATCTTATGTTCTCGAGTCTTGAATTGCCTACGAGCCAAATTTGAAGTCAGAAATTATAAACCATCCTGAAAGAGTAAAAAAGACACCGATAAAAAGTAAAAGCTAAAAAAACTATAACTAAATTTTGATATCATTGACTTCATCAAGCTATCTCGGAGAATAATTTTGAGGAAGCTAAAATGATGAATTTGATGATGACGTATTGATGAGGATGAGAGTGATTGGGAATTCTGCTCCAAAGAATGATGCTTTGGAAAGTATATCTTTGCAGACCACTCTATTTTATGGGTTTCTATCGGACAAAGATTGCATAAAATTACTTATTAAATTTAAAAAGAATCAAATGCAGATAAAAAAGTCAACAAGAAAGTTGCTCTTATTTGCATTTGAACAAGCAAGAAGAACCTTATCAATTGAGCATTATAGTCCCACCATGATTCATGAGATTTGATCATATCTGGTAATTTAAAGAGTAAATACGAATGTGAAGCATCTCAATAGGGCTTGTTAGTCTCACTATTTCTAAGAAACAACAAAGTTACCAGCAGCAGGTTGCGGAGTTTGCACATATTCTAGTTTCCTGTTATAATTAATTTTGGTGATTTATATGATAACTCTCTTAAATAGGAGGAAATTGCAATTAAAGAAACTTGTTTCCTTATTAGTTGCGCCAAAAACCATTGGCTGAGCTTCCTCATGTACTTAGGACAAACAAATACAATTAACATTATTTAATTAAGCAAAGCATTGTGAAAATTTAGATAATAGCATGCCAATAATCAAATATCCACTTAAACAAGAAAACAATCAAAATAAGGAAGCTGAAAGAAAGATCAGCAGATGGATCTACACAATCACAATTCACATAATACCAGCTAATGGATTTTGAATGCACTAGTTAACAACAAAGCCACTGTTTTGGCAAATGTAATTCAAATGTTGAGCTTATGATCATAAAATTGCTACTGTCTTGCCAGCAGGACCAACAAGAAGATAAGCAATACACTCCTAAATAACTGTAATTGACTCAGATGAAAACAAGGTTGAGTAATAGTACTTGTTTACTAATCTAAAAAAGATATTTGTCAATGTCCTTATCATCGCTAAATTAAATCACTATTCATGTTAGAACTTACAAGTTCCATGAAGGACCCTCCAACAAACTACATTGGTTTAGTTCCAATAAAATGTGAAAGGCTTGTATGTATGAGATAAAAATCACAAGCATTGGGTGTGCTTGCCTGCAAATGAGATGGCCAATCTGCATGTTTAACAAACCAATTGAAAACTCTGTGTATACTCCATTTCTGAATCTATCAAACATCCTACTATCCCCTAAATTCTGGTTAAATACATATATGCATTAATCACCTATGGAATTAGTTGATTTGGTTTCATCCTCACAACATAGATTTAAGCAAAAGTCTCAATTAAGCAACAGTAAAGGAATTGAAGAGTTCAGATAAGAACTCACTGTAAATGCCACCAAAGCATTGGAAAGAACGAGAAACCCATACTTAGCCATGCCTTTTGATCTTTGTTTTTTAGTAAATCTGCTACAGTTTCCTGTTAATTGCATATAAAGCAACTAACATGAACGAGTCATTAACTTAACAAGTCTATATTCAAGCACTTTCTATGGAGGTCCTTGGCCAAAAAGTTATTATAAGAAAATTTATTAATTTAATCACTTTTAACAATAAAGGGTAAATCCATACAATTTATTCAATCAACCAATATTAATGTCAATTGAAGTAGACTTATGCGAAGGTGAAAAACTAAACTGCTTTTAGCCAAGTGATATCCATTGAGTGAAAAATACCCAGCAGGAAGGTTTTTGATAGATTGTAACATGAAAAAGATAATAATCAATATCTTTCTTCAATGACGATCCATGTAACTTAAATATTCCAATTGCATCCCCAAGAGACAATTTGTTACACAAACACATAAAAATAAACTTGTAACTAAGTCCAAAATTTCAGAAAAACTTATTCAAAAAAGTTAGTATGGAGATATGCTTCAAGAGAACTTGAAAAATGGAGTTAAAAATTGTTAAATGTAAGTAAGTTTGCAATCATGATATGCAGTTCTGATCCAACCTAAGTCTTATGAGCTTGGTGGAGAGATTTGCAATCAAAGTGGGCAATACACCCCCAAGCTGATTAGCATGCAAACGCAGCACACTTAGATTGGAGCAATTGGTCAAGGAGGTAAGGAACTGCAAGTCATTGGATTTTGCAGTGCCAAGAGTATTAGCCCCAAAATTTAAAAGCTCAAGTTGTTTAAGTTCACCCAAATTCCGTGGTATGCCCCCTGTCAAAGCATTTGAGCCAAGATCAATCACTCCAAGATGTGAAGCATTAATCAAAGATGCAGGTATGGTCCCAGAGAATTGGTTTTCTCCCATGTAAATCCTTTCAAGTTTTGGAAAAGTGAGACCTAGGTTAGAGGGCAAGCTTCCATGCAATTGGTTTGAGACTAGAGCTAATATGTTGATTGATGAAATGTTGAGAATAGCAGGAGGGATCATACTGGTCAACTTGTTTTCAGACAACTGAAGCTCTTCCAAGTTTGAGAGCTTTCCAAGTTCAATAGGAGTTTGGCCTTCTAAATTGTTGTTTGACATATTAAAAAAACACAGAGCAGAGATGTTCCCAAGTGTAGGTGGGATTGTTCCAAAAAAGTGATTCAGGGATAGGACTAATTCATAAAGTTTTGGCAGAGAGCCAAGTTGAGTTGGAACCTTCTCTCCAAGATTGTTATTAATTAAATTGATGACTCTAAGGTCTGAATAATGTGTGACATTAATAGGAAATTCTCCCTCGAAAGAGTTGTTTCCAAGAATAAGATAACGTATTCGAAACAAGCGACCAACCTCTTGGGGGATCACCCCATGGAAGCTGTTGTTGTTGAGGTTGATCACCTGAAGGAAGGTAAGGTTTCCTATGTGAGGAGACAAGGAACCTACTAATTTTAGTGATGAAAGGTTTAGTGCACTTGCTCTCTGATGATGCCTATGACTGCAAGTAACTCCTTGAGCTAAAGACCCTGAAAGGATCTTTAGCAAAGCTTGCATATCTGTCTCATTTGTGAAACCAAAAGTGGGAACAAAGCTCATGTAAAAGAGAAGAATGAAAGAAAAAATGAGGAAGGAACAACAACTTAGTGGCCTGAAAAGCATGGTGTTATGTTCCATTTGGTGTTTTAGAAGAAGAATGGTGAAGGAGATGAATGAAGGGTTCAAGTTATATAACCAAAATTCATAACAAACCTAGCTTCCTTTGGGAGAATTCATTGGATCAAGTCCGTCCATTAACATTGACTCTTCTCCTTCTCCTTCCACTTACTTGGAAATATTTAAAAATGAAATTTCTCCAACAATCTTCTTAGGCTTCTAAACTTAGATTTTGATTTCTTCCAAAATACTGAAAGAAAATTCCCTTTCCCTAAAATTAGGAAACAATATCACACTTTTCATATTTGATCACATAGTTCCATCCACTTGTTTAAAATTGATAAGGGCAATTAAGTAAAAAATCTAAATAATTTTCAAACTTTTTTATCCTAATCAAATCCATGCCAAAAAAATAAATTTTCAATTGTTGTTTGTGCAATCTTATGGTGATTGAAAACTCACTAATTTTTCTTACAAGTGACTTAATTATAATCATATTTCCATCTTTTTTTTTTATTTATTGGCAACCATATTTCCATCATACATGTCTTTTATCACATCCATATATCTTTTTTATCACCATTTTTTTTATTTATAAACACCCATAATATTGAATCTCTAAGCACCCTATCTAGGCTTTTAATAGGTATACAATGAGAAGATGAATGGAAAACGAGGGACATGGGTCAAGTGCATCCATTACGCTTGACTCTTCTGGATATGGAGATACAATAGGGTCCTGTAGTCTCTCATCGGGATCAATACCATTTGTATTTTGATTATTCAAATCGTTCATATTGTAAGATTTATTGAGTAAAAAAATTAGATTAATCATACATTTGCCACCACACAAAAATATCACATTTGTTTTAAAAAAAAAATGACGTCCAATAGGATTTTGATAATAAATTATTCATTATTTAGGCCCTGATCATGTGGTCATGAATGTCTAATTAATTTTTTATTTTATTTTATAGATATTTTACTTAACAAACCCTATAACATAAATAATATGAATTGTCAAAATTGCTCCAATCTAAGTGTGTTGCATTGTCTCTTTACTTAGAGAGTATGGGCTACAATGTTAAATTGGTGGGATATACAGTGGGCTTTGCTAGGTACAATTGAAAGTCTATTCCATTGGTGGGAGGGAGGTAGGTTTCATGAAAAAGGAGAGGAAAATTTGGAGGGCTATACCATTGGTTGTTTCGTGGTCTTTATGGAAGATGAGAAATGAGTGTGTGTTTAATGCTTTTATCCCCAATTTGGTTGAATTGTGTGAGTTGATGAAGATTAAAATTGCTCTTTGGCTGAAGTCAGATTACAAGGAGGTTGTGTAAAAGAAAAAGAAGTATAATAGAATGTATGTTGTGTGTGTGCTCGTAGAAAAAAGAAAATTTAAAAAGAAAATAATAATAAAAAAAAGAGGTTGGTTATATATTCATTAATAATTTAAATCATTGAATCAACACGGAAAACAATCCCAAATCATTACTCAAATCCATAATCCTTCAAAAATTAACCAAAAAATTAAGTGCATGAATTAGATTTGTTTTAAAAGTGGCCTACATGACAGTAAGTTTGAGTTTGATTTGCACTAAACATTTTATATTCTTTATCAGCCTAAAAAAAACTGGATCAAAATGTCCAAATATGTAGCCATCTAAAGCTTGGGGATGATCCTAGATATATTTGGGTTTTTCAAAAGGAGTGTGCTGGACCTATGTCTTTGTTGAAAGGAGAGAGTAGTAGGCAAGTAGAGGAAAAGGGCTTGGCTATTGGCACCTTGTTATGTTTGATGTGGCTTATGTGTGGCAAGTGTAATTGACAACCTTTGTTGGGTGGAACAACCTCTCTTTAAATGAGAGAGTAAGTTTTTGCCTCTCCTATAGTTGGTTTCAGGGAGTTGTGGAACCAATCAATTATGAATTTTGCAGACACTTTGGAGGGACGTGATATTAAATAGGAGATCTTTGTCAAAAAGAAAAAAGAAAGACCCACTTCTGCTGCTGTATATAGTGTATGAAGTGAAAATGAAATAGACAAACATTAGGAGCAGTTAAATAGAACTACAATTTTAGTAATGAGAAAAAATCATTGTTAAATTAGTATTGGAGTTAATATTAAGAATCGAAAGAAAATTTTGTATAATTAAAACTACAATCCATTTCGTTTGTTCAATATATCTTCAACTTGAAATTCAAAAACCCTAAATCATTTCATAGAATTAATCATCTTATCTATCACACCAATAATTAGCTCAAAAAACCCTAAGGTCATGTTTGATTCACAATACTAATAGTGAGGTATTAATAATCCTATTAAATTAGTGTGGTATTAACTATCCCACCCCTACCCCATTAATAATAATCCTACAAATTTGTTGGATTAATTATCCATTGGATTAATAGTCCTAAACCAAAATGTCAAAACAAACATAGGATGATTGGGCCCACGAATTAATAATCCTAATCCCATGCTTTAATCCTTCTAATCAAACATGCCGTAAATGTAGAACAAAAATCAAAACTAATGTACTCATTTCACAAAAATAAAAATCCTACAACATCAACAAAAAAAGAAAAGAAAAGGTAGCTCTAGAGTGAAATAGGAAAATAAAGGGAGAGAGAGAGAGAGAGAGAGAGACCTGAACGTCGATGGGAGCCGAGGAGACGGCGAGCTACGATGACTGACCGACGGCGAGCAATGCTGACTGATTGACGATGAGCGACTATGAGAGGGGGGGGAGCAAAACTCTGTTTGGTGTTTGGTTACTCTGTTTGGTGTATGTACCTGTGATACAGATAAATAAAAAAATAATAATACTGAAATTAAACTAATCAAATTGGGCGGTAATACTCAGAGTAAAAATCGAGTTAATTGAAATTATAAAGATTAAAATTTAAAAAAAATTATTATTAAATAGGAGAGCAATTTGAAATTTTATTTTTTGTTTTAAGTCGTATAAAGTTATTGATCAATTTTATATATGTGACAAGCATAGTTAAAAAACATGTTATATTCAGTTTAATTTATTTATTTTTATTATTTTGTGCATTTTAAAAATTTTAAAAATATATTGGCATTTTTTATTTTTTCAAAAAATGCCATTAGATAGCTTGGAAAGTTTTTGGCTTAGTGACATTTCTCAAAATGCTATAAAATATTTGTTTAGGATACTTTTCACCTAATGCCATCAAAAGTAACTTGCACCCACCTAGTTTAATGACATCTATTGATAAATGTCATTGAAACAATTTCTTTCGTCACATAAAATTGATGTGACATTTTTTTATTAAAATGCCACAGAGCCTTATATGTTTACGATTCTGTAGCATTTTTCTAAAATATGTTACCAAATATTATTTTTGTGACATTTTTTAAAAATATG